TAGCATATATCAAACTTTCCTTCCATTTTAAGGTTGGGTATCAGTCCATCATATGGATGTACTGCATTTTGTTTATCCATTCATCCATCCATAGACATTTGACTTATCTCTACATTTTTGCTATAGTGAATAATGCTGTTATGAACACTCACGCACAAGTGTTTGTTTGAGTCTCTGCTTTCAGTTCTCTGGGGTACATGCCCTGAAATAGAATCACTAGATCATAGGGTAATTCTGTGTTTAACGTTTTGAGGAACCACCATTCTGTTTCCTACAGTGGTAGTACCATTTTACATTCTTACCAGCAATAAGTACAGTGTTCCACTTCTCCATATCCTTGCCAACACCTCTTATTTTGTTGTTGATTCTTTATCATAGTTATTGTAATGGGTGTAAAGTGACATCTGATTGTAGTTTTGATTTACATTTCCTTAATAGCTAGTTATATCGAACACTTTTTCGTGTGCTTTTCAGCCATTTGTAGATCTTCTTTGGAGAAATGTCTATTATGTCCTTTGTCCAGTTTTGAACTATTCTGTTGGGTTGTAGGAGTTCTTCATCTATTCTGGATATTAATCCTTTATTGTATATATACTTTTCAAATATTTTCTCCCATTCCATTGATAGTCTATTCATTCTCTTGACAGTGTCTTGATATTCAAAAGTTTTTAACTTTGGTGAAGCCCAATTTATTTATTTTTTTTTCTTGGGTGCCTGTGCTCTGAGTGCCATTGCCAGTAAATCTTTGCCAGATCCAATGTGATGAAGATATTCCCCTATGTTTTCTTCTAAGAGTTTTATAGTTTTAGGTCTTTGATCTATTCTTAGTTGATTTTTGTATATAATATACAGTAAGAGACCTACTTTATTCTTTTTTTAAAATATTTTATTTATTTATTTTCAGAGAGAGGGGAAGGAAAGGAGAGAGGGAGAGAAATATCGATGTGTGGTTGCCTCTCATGTGTCCCCCACTGGGAACTGGCCTGCAACCCAGGTATGTGCCCTGACTGGGAATCGAACTGCAAATCTTTGCTTCACAGGCCCGCACTCAATCCACTGAGCTACACCAGCCGGGGCCCAACTTTATTTTTTTGCATGTGGATATCCAGTATTCCCAACACTATTTGTTGAAAACATTGTCCTTTCCCCATTGAATGGTCTTGGCTCCCTTGTCAAAAGTCAACTATATATTAAAATGAATATATTTTAAGTATAATGGGAAGTTACTGACATTTTTAATAAAGGTTATCAGGTGACACTGATTTTCTACATTGACTTTCTTAAGTCCCTTTAAAGGTGATAAACTTGAAGGGAAAGGGAATTCTAAATTCCAAAAATCCCTTTACTAATAAGAGCAAAGCCTAAAGGAGTAAACATTAAATTTTGTATAGAAAAAGCAATCTCTAGAAATGGTCTAAAGTGAGTTCCCATTAGACAGGAAAAAGAAATACAGAGTCTTCAACAGAAAAGACAAACAAAAAAAAGAAGAAAATGAAAAGTCAAAAATCAGGTCTATGGTTATTACCTGGGGCTACCTTCAGCACTGAAGATGGTGAACTAGGAAAACTATGAGTGTGGAGTTTGGAAGTAAGTTGTAAATTTGAGTAACATCAATGTATATTTTCATCAAAAGAAGTAGGAATGGATACTAGACAGCCAAAACTTAATAAACAAACAGTACAAAGAAACTGGAACCTGTTTGTGTGCTGCTGAAATTGCTAAAAGTGATGAGCCAAAAAAGAGAAGATACCTGAAGGAACCACTCTTGGAGCAGGAGATAAGGTCAGCACCAAGAGTCTTTGACAAGAGAGATACTCTGGCCAGCAACAGGAGGACAGAAGGAGAAAGTGTGTGCCAACGCCCAGAGGGGTGCTGGTTTGATGGTGAGTTCCCATCTGGTAGCTGCCATTTTCTCACTCGAGAGACAGAATGTGCCAGTTACCAGTTCACTCTTTCCTCTCCAGATCTACTCCTCATTACCTGCTCTGTGATGAGGGAGCTAAACAGTATAAACATCTCCTTTGCCAAGGGCACAGTGTTAAGGTTTGTCAGTAGAAGGTGCTGAAGGGAATGGGCAGGAGGAAGGAGCTTCTCTTTCTGCTTGGGGTTTTCTCCTCTCAACAGGCTCCAGCAGTTCACTGTGCTCCGCCTCACATAGCAACCCAGGGGGCAGCTTACTTTATCATTTAGTGAGTCACCACGTCTAGAGGGGCCACCACCAAATCTGTTCCTTGATAGCTCTACCTCAGCCTGGAGGGAGTGGTGGCTCCCTATATCTGCTACTTCAGTATGACATTCTTTATAATTTTATTTCTCTTAATAGATGACCCCTTGTTATAATGAATAATTATTGATATTAAAGTTTTCCTGTTTACATTACCATGAGGTTTCTGTCACTTAAGGAATCTCGACTGATACAGTGAGTTATCAACTAAGAATGAGGGGAAAGGGAAGGAGGAGGTTTGAGGAGAGCGAGATGGGCTGAAACAGTCTGGAAGAGGGGGGAACATATATTTACCAGGCAGGAGTAGGATTTCCATCCCATTGTATAGAGGTATTATAATTAATTTTACCAGTTTCTGGACATTTATGTTGTTTAAAACACATACACACACAGTGGATATACACTCTTCAAAAACGTCTACCTATTTCCTATGCTTCTGAAGACATTTTTCCTTCCTTCCTTCCTTCCTTCCTTCCTTCCTTCCTTCCTTCCTCTCCCCCTCCCTCTTTTTCTTTAATTGTTGTGGCTGCTGACTGAAAAGACCAACAAAATAATATGTTGATAAAGCAAAGCCAAGTTTAGTGCTTATCAGAAATACTTGTAATGAAAGGAAGGACAGCGGAAGTAAGGGATACCACTGCCTTGACAGTTTTAGTATCAACTCGGAATGGAGAGGGCAAAGGAAGAATATTTATGAGGTTTTTAGGGGCCTGATTTAGGATGAGTCTTTTGATGTTGAGAGGACTTACTCGATTTGGGCAAAATTCATGTCATGGTCCACCAAGACATAGCTAGTGAGGAATTCAAAGTGAAACTTGGATAGAAATGACCATTTGAATTGATAAAATGAATTTCATCAAAATGCAGAACCCATCTCTTTGAATGCCACTGTTAAAAGAATGAAGGCAAGATACAGTCCGGGAGAAAATATTTGCAAATGCTATCTGATAAAGGACTTGTATCCTACATATGTAAAGAACCTTCAAAACTCAATGAGAAGAAAACAAACAACTCAATTTTTAAGTGGGCAAAACAGTTAAATAAACATTTCCTAAAGAAAATGTACAGATAACAAATAAGCATGCAAAAGGATGATGCTCTTTATTCTTTAGAGAACGGCAAGTTAAAAGCACAGTGAAATACCACCACGTACCTATTTGGATTTCTAAAATAAAAAGACTGACCATACCAAATGTTGGCAAGAGTGTGAAACAACTGGAATACTCAATAACTGCTGATGGGAATGTAAAATGGAATAACCACATTGGAAAACAGTTTGCAGTTTCTTACAAAGTTCAACATACACACCTCCCATGCCATTCCATTTCTGGATGTTTACCAAGAGAATTAAAAGCACATGTTCATACACAGACTTTATGTATGAATATTTATAGACCTTTATTTGTAGTAGCCAAACACTGGAAACAATCTAAATGTCCCTCAATGGAGATACAAATTGTGGAATCTCCATATACAGAAATGTACTACTCAGCAGTAAAAAGGAATTAACTATTGTTAGAACAGCATGAATGAATCTCAAAATAATTATGAGTCAAAGAAGCCAAAAAATTAGAATTATCTTTCACACCCTCCTTTACACCTTTAGGTAATGATGGCTCCCACAGCTGCCCACCCAGTTGTAGGCAAAGGCCTGGTAGAGGTAGGTAGCTGCCCATGTTGCAAAATTAGGTTATAGAAGTAATATTCACCCAGGAGTCTGTGATGGCAGGCTGACACCCAAGACACTCAATGACAGAAGAAACAGTGTCCACTTGGGCCCCAATTTCAATCCCCTGTAGTGTTCAGCAAAAACTTACATGGAGGGGAATACTTTGGTAAAGTGAGTATAATCACAATTTGTATTGCTAGGTTTAATTTTTCAACCCATGTTTCTTTAAGGCAAATTTATTTTGTAATGGTTTTTTAAAAATGATTGACTTTTACTCATGCAATGGTTTAATTATATGCTTGTATGTGTATTCTTTCTGGCAACAAGATCATCATCAGTCTGTCTTCTCCAGTACTAAAGCCCATTGTTTTGCAGTCAGTGCTCAATATACACAATAAGTAAGAGAAACAAGGGTAATACAGGCATACCTCAGAGATATTGCAGATTGGGTTCCAGACTACCGGCAATAAAGCAAGCTGCAATCTTTTTGCTGGTGGAGAATCTTGCTTTCAATTTGTAAAAAGTGCAACATCTGTGGCCTGCAATAAAGCTAGTACACCTCTGAAACACAAAGCAAGAAAATCAATAGCAAATCACATGTTCATAAACAAAGGAGTTGACTGCTTTATGAATGTTTTTAAACCTATTTTTATTATAAATAAAAATAGAGTAGCTATTGCTGTAATACAGGGAAAATACAAAAGCTTCCTTTTTTCTGGTAACGGGTGTGTGTGTGTGTGTGTGTGTGTGTGTGTGAAGGGGTGGATACACATACTCTAAATTGGGATGCCCCAAACCACCAGTTCCAAGCAAACATAAAGTACTGGGAAACGGGAACCCCGTTTTAGGGCACTGTCTGTTCGCTCGGATACAAAACTATATGTAATTATTTACATACTCAGCGAACAAGCTCGAGGTGAGGTCCTCATGAGCCTCGAAAGCTTCTACGGTAGTTCCCAAAACCCTCTCAACATGACTTGAGATGTGTGCGTACGCCACCTAAAGCCAAAAAGCAGCGGACTGTCGCCCCAGCCACTCCTCTCGCTCAGCCGGGGCGGGGCCAATCCCGGAAAGGGCGGGGCTACCCCAGTGCCTTAGAGGCTGCGCCCGCTGCAAACTTTCTTTTCCGCCTGGCGGTGGACGGAGAGGTATCGGTAATGGGGTTCTTCTGGGATCCGCGGCAACGCCCGCGGGCCGGTCGCCACACTTTTTCAGGTAGTAGTCTCCGCGAACTCAGTTCCTCATCTCTTTTTGCCGGGAACAAGAGTCTACACGGAAGCCTGTGTGCGCCTCGGCGCCCTCCACCGTTTAGGTCCCGCGCCTGGGGTGTCTGTCCCTTGCCCTTGTTCCTCCGCTGCTGTCACGCCCAGTTGACGCGGCCACGAGCTTTCCTGCTCGCCATCTGTTCAGTCGCATTTTGTGAGTAACCACCTGCAAGTCTTAACTGACCCTTTTCTTAGTCAACGTTGGCTTCTACTGATCTCAGCTGAGCGATTTAAGGACCAGCCTTTGCGATCCAGTTGGATCCGAAGCGGCGGGAATGTGAGATTCGGGTCTTTATGTTCCACCCGGCCTTCTCCGGAGTCTTTTTGTTGGTATCCTTGGTAAAGCTTTGTGGGCGGCCTAGACAATGTCAAGTCCCTTATGGTCTCTTGACAGCGGAACTGCTTGTCGGGGTTTGTTCTGGGTCTTTTGTTTTTAAGGAAGAGAGGGAGACACGGAGAGAAACGTTTAGAGGATGGGTTGCCTCTCACGCGTCCCCAGCTGGGGCCCTGATCCCCCCCCCCAACCCAGACACGAGCCTTGACTGAGATTCGAGGCAGTGACTTTTCGGTTTATAGGCCGGCTCTCAGTCCACTGAGCCACACCAGCCACGGCTGGATTGAAGAAACTGGGCAACAGCTGGGAGATCGGAAGATTACGTTGCCTATTCAAAAACAAGTTGTGAATATTTCATGTGGTTCATTTTTTTTCCTCCCTGGGTTGCATTATCCTGAGCACTCTTAACAGGGCAAATGAAATGGCTTAAAGTAGTTTATAATATTAGTGTTACAGTCATCCTTATTGAGACAGTGGCTTGAACCCTATTTTCATGGCTAAGCATTGGAATCAAAAAAAAAGTTTACGAGCTAAATGTTTGACGAAAATACTGAGAATGCGCTTAAATTCTGCAGCATAGTAAATAGACGACAGACAGCCCACCGGGCCATTTAAGAACTGGAATTTGACGAATAGTAATCTATTTGCTTTCTTTCCCATTCCCCTTGCCTTCAGTCCTCTGTATTTTGTGTCCAATTTCTTGGTGTTTTGAGGGGGGTTGGATGGGTAGTACTTTTTAAATAGATCTGTAACTCTAAACATTTTTTCGTTTTAGACTTTATGCAAATGGAACTGCATGCAGTTGTCAGTTCCCATGAAATCGTATTGAACTGAAAATTTCCAAGTTTTAATTTTTCATAACTGATATGTGTTCCTAATACTGATTAAGTGAAATATTTAGATTTGCCATTGTAAACTTTCAGTTGGAGGTTTGTACACCTGATTTTATATATCTAACCTTTAACCTGGCTTATGTCTCATCCTTGTCAAGCTCTGAGACAGAAAGCAATGGTTGGATACTCATTAGGACCATCCTATCTTAAAATCGACATTGCCACAATAAAGCACATAAATATATCCACCATTTTTTTTCTACCCATGCTAATTAACCCACTTCAGCATGGAAAGATCATGTATGGAATTATTAGGGCCCAATTAGTCAAAAGGACTAACAGTCTCAAAATCATTGTACAATAGAAATTAAATTTTAGATTTATCAGTTTGGGCTACCAAAAAGATAGAATTAAGCAAGTATGTTCTTGTGTTCCTAAAGATATATTAAACATCAAATAGAGAATTAATCTACTACATGGTCTCAATGTTGGTTTTTAAAAATTGGTCAGCCAGGAAGATCACAAGTATGGTTTATATTTATGGTTTCTGATAAGGAAAAAACTCAACCATTCTTGCATTAAAGATTGCAAACATGCAAATACAAATAAATATTTACGATGAAATATTAATTTCCAGATGCAACAGAGCCTATGGGCTGAAGATGAGTGGTGGTTGTCATAATGAATGTTTTCCAAAAACTTACCACAGAGGATGACTAAACCCACAGGATATACAGCTGCATGTAACAAGGTACCAAAGGTTAGTGTTAAGTTGTTTTCATAAATATATTTATGGTGTTGTTCCTGAAGAATACATTTTTGACATAGGTTTAATAACTGGCACAATGATGACTTAAAATTACTTTTTGCCGTTTACCCGGCTGAGAGTTTCTTTGAAGAAATAATTTTAAGACTGAGGTGCCAGTAATCTATATTGAAATCATGTGAATTCAACTATAATACAATTTTTTTCCTTACTAAAATCAGTGAAATGTTCTTTCAGCATATAGGTAGCCACAGACGAATGAATGTTCAAGTTCTTAGCTCTGGTATATAAGAATTCTTCATTGCCTCAGGTAAGTAATTATGATTTATCAAGCATCTGTTGATAATTCAAAAGGGCTGGGGCCACTTCCTGTTAGTTGCCTTTGTGTTTGAGTACAGAATGATTTTCACTGTTAGTTTCTGGTTTCCCCCAAGGTGTAGCATGCAACATTTTGGAGGGAAATACAAAGCATTGGCCAAAAAGACATTAATTGAAGCAAATGATGAGAATAAATATTTTATTTACCATTGGTCACCTTATAATAAATTATATAGAAAATACATGTTTGAATACTTCTAATTGCTGGGTAATAAAATCTGTTTTCTTTAAAACAGTAAGTCTTTAAACAAACTCCATTATCACATTCACTAGTCAGACTCATTTTTAAATTTAGGGATAGTATGTTGTGGATAGTGATTTTCCTTGAGGTGTTTGGCAGCTGGGGAGGTATTTCTGGGACTTCCATCTAGTTCCTATACCCTTTCTTGCCTTAGGGCATTTCTGGATAGGCCCTAATTACTGCATACTAGATAACTATTCGGGCCTCCCTTCAGAACCTGCTATACCTGAAATGCAGAACAGTAGTCCTCACTTATCCATCGTTTCAGTTACCCACAGTCCAAAAATAAATGGAAAAAATCCAGAAATAATTCCTAAGTTTTAAATTGCACATGGTTCACAGTTACGTGAATCATTCATTTATCCATTATATCCACATTGTACATTGCCTGCCTGTTACTTAGTAGCTGGCTTTATGGCATGAGTACTTGTTCAGAAACCCTTATAACTTATTACATTATAACTTTATTAAATGTCTTAATGTGCCTAATTTATAAATGAAGCTTTATCAAAGGTATATATGTATAGGAAAAAAGTACGCTACTACTATTCATGCTTTCAGGTATCCACTTGGGAGTCTTGGAATATGACCCATGGGGAAGGAGGGACAACTGCAGGTTTCATCTGTGACCTACAAATTTTGTTAATTTGCTCTTGCCTTTGAGAACAAAAAATAACCCAGTCCTAGTACAAGTAATTACTATAGTAAGTAAAATAATGACTGGATAGTCCAGCCTGTCCAGGACTTGAAAATTTACAAAAGTTCTAAAACTGAACTGAATTCTACCTGGATAAAGATTTAACTAAATCTCGTTTTTCCCCTGCTGAGCCCCATAATAATTTGTTTTTAATTGGGGATATAACTTCAATATAGAAAGGCAAAAAATGTGTTCTGCAACATCTTAATCACTGCATCAGAGGTAACATTTGAAAACCATTTTCCCACCAGTGTTACTGCCACAAAATAAGGTCTTAAATATAGAGTTTGTGTACTTTTTAAAACAACTACTTTCTGAAAACTGGCACCTGTGGATATTGAATATTGTCAAATGACTAGGAAATAGTGAATGATTTTTCAAAGTCCTCTTGAGTGAAAACTGTCCATCTTACGGTTAAGTTCCTAAAGAATTAATGTATGGTAGTTTCTTGGTTAATAAGATGGCAAATTTGTGATGACTTTTTCATTTAGTGAGTAAAATTAAAGTTGAAAAATGAAAGGATATGGGGATTTTACAAGTAGATTTTCTAACCGTGTCCCTACCTTTTCAGAGCACGTATCCTCCCTCCAGTGAGATTAAAAGAGCCAATTTAAAAAATTTGTATGACTCTCATTTAAAGTTATTGCCATCTTGTGACAAATGGAGAGAACTACATAAAAGTTACTTTTTTTTTTTTTTTTACATTGCTTAACTTGCAATGTTAAAATAGTGATAAAGTGAATGACTTTCTTTTCAATCTGTCACCCACTGGTATACTGGATTAGCCATGGTTTTTTGTTTGTTTGTTTTTTGTTTTTCATAGAATTCTCCTAAGTTTTAAATTTGCTATTAGCTTTGAGATTTGAATTAGTGTTTATTAGCAATTAATTTAAAGAAACTATATTTTTAAGGAGGCCTTCTAATGTACTTCTATACACAGCATTAGCTGAAGCATTACTTCAAAATCATACTTTTTCCATGGCTGAAGTAGAAATGAAATTTTTTCTCAGATTGTCTATTCATCACTAGAGAAAAAAGCCGTCCCAGGTCCATATGTAGCAATAAACTGTAGGAGCTGTTCTTGGCACTGAGCCAGATAGATGTCCCTTTGTTCTAAATATTCTTCATTATATAGTTCAAATGGAAATACTGCATTTGGAGCAACACAAAATACAGTGGCCCCTAAGTGAAGAAGGAAAAAAAATGTAAAAAATACTTATAATGCTAAATAAGAAATTAGACCTACTTAATAGTTTCAATAATCATGATTTAAATCTGACCTCTTATATTCGAGACACAATAAACAGTTTCAGTAAATACATACACTGGTACCAGGGCCAGTAAAAGACAAGTTGACATTTTACAGTTTGGAAACTAGAAATCTGCTTTATACTGAAATAGTCATTACAGTTTTGAAGCTGACTAGTGATGTAAGGAGATGGAAAGAGTAGATGGGTGTTGGAAGGTAGGGGAACACTAATATTTATTTAATGGAGGTTAAGTTGATTGGGGATAAAGACATTGTACATTTCACAATTAAAAACCATTGACATAAAGACAGACATACAAACCTATGCAATAGAATAAGCCTGGAAGCAACTTCAAATACATAGTTAAATGATTTTTAGCAAGGGTTCCAAGACCATTAGGGAAAAGACAGGCATTCCAACATGTGATGCAGGGAAAATGATACCCACATGCAAAAGAATGAAGTTGGTCCCCCTTCCCTTACATTGTATACAAAAATTAACTCAATAGATCCAAGATCTAAATGTAAGAACTAGAATTAAAACCCTTAGGAAAAAAACATTGGGGAAATGCTTCATGACATTTGACTCAACAGTAATTTCTGGGGCATAACACCAAAAGCACAGGCAACAAAAGAAAAGCAAGAAAGTAGATGACATCAAAAGAAAAAATTTGTGTGCATCAAAAGGTATAATCAGTAGTAAAAAAGCAACACTTTTCACTTGACATTTTTCCCAAGAAAATACACAAATGGCCAACAAAGACACCAAAAGATGCTTGACATCACTAAGAAAAATGTAAAGCCACAATGATAAAACTGCCTCACCCATAAGAATGACTGTCAAAAACTAAAGAAATTAGAACCCTTGTTCACCGTTGGGAATATAAAATGGTACAACCCTTATGAAAAACAGTATGGTGGTTTATCAAAAAAAATTAAACACAATTGCCATATGATAACAGCAATTTCCTTCTGGGTATACACGCAAAAGAATTGAAAGCACAGTCTGAAAAAGATATACTTCAGTTTGCAGTAGCCAAAAGTGGAAAACAACTGTAGCGTTCATTGGTAGATAAACAAAATGTCACATATATACATATATATGGATACTAGAGTCAAGCAGGAAGGAAATTCTAATGCATGCTATAACATGGATGAATCTTGAAGACATAGTAAGTGAAATAAGCCAAGCAAAATAGGCAAATATGTAATTCCATTTATAGTAGGTACCTAGAGAAGCCAAATTCATAGAGATACGGGCTGGAAGAAGGGGAGAATGGGGAGTTACTGTTTAACAGGTATGAGATTTCAGTTTGGGAAACTGAAAAGGTTGTGGAAATGGTCGGTGGCAACAATGTGAGTATAGTTAACATCACTGAACTGTACATTTAAAAATGGTTAAGATGGTAAATTTTGTATATAAGGGGGGACTCCCCCCAAAAAAAACAATTCTCTTCTAGAGGGCAGGCTTCCTCCACTAGGAAAGTGTTCCAGGAGCCCATCTCTGTATCATTGTACCAGCTGGTGTTGCAAGAAGCTGCGCTGGTCTTCAGTTAATGTTTTTTTGAAGACTCAGTGCATTTGCCCCATGTCGTGATAGGTGATTTATGAGTACATCTGCCCACACTGCACAGGAGTGTTCAGTTTTTGACCAGAAATGGCATGATTCTTGTATTCTACCTTCCCTAAATTAACCCCTTCTCACCCGAAGTGACTTTTTTTGTTTCCCCAGATGAAAAAAGTCCTCAAAGGGAAACATTTTGGTGATGTGGAAGAGATGAAACAAAAAACAGCAGAAGCACTAACAGGCACCAAAATCAATGAGTTTAAAAACCATTTTGAGCAGTGGAAAAAATGTCAGTAGGTGTATTGCATCAAACAAAGTACTTTGCAGGTGACTGAAGTTTAAACATGTAAAAATGCACAATTGTTTATAAATTCTGTTTTTTGAGGGTAACCCTTTGTAATATATATTTTATCACAATTAAAAGGAGTTAAGCTCTTAAAATCTGTTTCATTGACTGATTCATTGAATGAGTAAGTGTGCCTGGCCAGGGGTACACTGTTAGCCAAGCCAACAGTGCCTGCCTTCCTGGAGCTGTCTGTCACCAGCAAATACAGCCTCAGGCTTTAGAGACTGCTCCCTTCACTGCTTTACCTTACCTGAAACCTGCTGTCTCAGAGAACACTCTTTCCTTGGTGGCTCTCTAACAGTGAAGCTGCTTATTCCCAAACATCCTGCATATCTTAGTATCATAAGACAGAGGTATTGCCTAACTTGCTACCCCTTTGCCACCTCAAGACCTTTCTTGCCCCTGGTTTCCTCTTGATAAAAATCTTTCTTTAATGTCCAGTGCCACCTGGGCTTTATCAACCCTTCATCTTCCACACTCAAGTCAATAGCCCTTAGCTCACAATTTTCCTCTTTCCCAATTCTTGCCATTCTGTGATTTCCATGTGAATGACCCATTTAACTTATAAACTCCCTATGTTCTAACCATTTTTCCTCTATCTCCACATTCTTAGGGTCACAGGAAACTGATATGACCAGATACTTTAAAGTCATGAGTTCAAATGTCCTGCTCCCCTACACTACCTCCTAAGCTTCTATCTCAGAAGCTTGTATACACCTTAATCTGCTTCCTTCAAGTCACTTCACTCTTAACCAATTTTGAGTCCCTCCCTTGCCATTATCCCTATTCCCTTACCCCTCTGCAATACTCTGCCGCACTGACCTATAAAAACCTCAACTCTGCATGACCAAACCATTTTTTGCCTGCACTTACGCTGCTAGATAGAAAATCATGTAATCAGCATTTCTGGGTTCAATTTAAATGAATCACAGACACATCAAATGTACTGCCTGACAACCCTGCTGAGTTTCTCAAGCACACCTGCTCTTCTGTCTCCCACAATGACTATTCTAGTTCATTCTTCTCTTAGCTTTTGTTTATAGCTCTTGAACTTGTATAGAGTATATCACAGAATCTACAGACATACCTGATTCTGTACCCATGTCTTCCCTATAAAATTAAACAACTCTTCTATCACAGGCCAATACTTCATGTGTGCTTTGGATCCCAGCCCCTCTTACCTTTTTAAGGACACCACTCCTCTGATCTTCCCCTCTTTCATTAGTATCAATAGTAGTATTAGTTTATTCTCTACTGGACATCATAATGTCTATCATCTTAAAAAAAACCCATCCTGGACCACACATCCTTCTCCAAAAAATACCATTTCTTTCCTCATCTTCATAGTCAAACGTCAAAGTTGTCTATGTGTGCTGTCTTCATATCTTCACTTCCCCACTCATATCCCCACGCCATTGAATTAGCTCTCAATCATGGTCACCTAAGACCTCCAGACTGTCAAATCTAATCATACTTAATCTCTTAGCACATGATACAGTTGACCACCCTGCTTCCTTCTTGAAACACTTTTTTTCTTGGTTTCTATAATACCACACTTGATTTTCTTTCTACATATACCTGCTGTTTCTCAGTCTCTTTTGTTTGTTCCATCTTCTCAAGCCCATAGCTAAATATTGGGATCTTCAAGGCTAGTCAAGGAATTCTCTGGTTTCTCTGGGTAGTTCCACAGCTTTGACTACCATCTCTGCTGATGATTTCTAAATTATATTTCTAGGTTAGAACTCTCTTCTAAACTCTATATTCTTGTATCTAGTAATACTTTTGTACAGTGTCTTAAACATAATTTGTTTTTTTTCCCCAATCTTGTTCAATTTCTTCTCAGTCTTGGTAAATGACTACATGATCCACTTAGTTTCTCAAAGTAGAAACCTGATGGTTTTCCTAACTCCTACATCGCCCTGCTGCCCCAACTCCTAAGTCTGGTTCTTGAGCACAATCTATTGATTTTTGCATCCAAGAAAATAAAAATATCTTAACATGGATGATTTTCCTGCTATGTTTAAAGTAACATTTAAGGAGCTCTTAATATTGTTTTGTTTAAGATTTAAAAGTCAATATACCTAACTCATTTATTATAAAAACAAAAAGTAATTAAAGGGGAAAAAAATCTTTACCTAGTTTTATTTCTCTCAACAAAGGTTTTCTTAGATGCTTTTAAAAAGTCTTGACAAGGTAGTTTCCAAGTGAAAATAACCATATACTACTATAGGATTACTTATAACACTATAGACTTTAAATTCAGAGACACATTTTTGTCTTCTTACTGAAATCTAGTTGTGTATTAGATATCTTTGATGGCATGTCTTAGTAAAATTGACAGCATTTTTTCTTTATGGCATATAAAATAATGGCTTAGATTTTAAATTATGTTTTACATGTATATTAAGAGAAGAATGAAAAAAAGAAGCAAATTAAAAATAAAAATATAGCCCTGGCTGGTGTGGCACAGTGAATTGAGCACAGGCCTGCAAACCAGAGGGTCACAGGTTCCATTCCCAGCCAGGGTACATGCCTAAGATGCAGGCCAGGTCCCTGGTAGGGGGTGCTCAAGAGGCAACTACACATTGATGTTTCCTTCTCTCCCTTCCCCTTGCTCTAAAAATAAATAAATAAAATATTTAAAAAATAAAAATACATATTCTTCCTCTTGTTTAATATGGCTGAGAACCAGGTTTTTCTCTTTTGGTAAATAAAATTAATTCAGTATGATAATTTACCTTTTTTAGGGGTCATGATTTACCTCCCTAAGAAAAAAGGAATAAAGCAAATGCATATACAAATTTACATATAATTTAGAGAGTCACAAACCCCTAGGACTCTCTATCCATTGATCCTAGGTTAGGAATACTTGATTTAGATAATTATAGAACAAAGTTCTAATGTTCTAAAGGATATTTGCAAAAAGTTATTATAAATTCAATGTAAAGCAAATTTAAACACTAAACACACAAAAGTCAGTGTTAAAACATCCCTTTAAATCCCAGGATTGGGATTAAAATTTGGTTTCAAGCAAGGTTTATCTCATCAAAATTAATGTCTCATCTAATCAAAAAAATGAATTTTCTTTACTCTTACAGTCCTTTTAGGTTTTTTTAAGCAAAACCATAATAAGCTCCATCCATTTAAAATAATTAAACGCTGTAGTTAATATTATAACTAGCCATTCAGAGAAGGTTGGTGGTACAAGATGATCACATTTTCTTTGGCTGTGTGCCTAATTCCACTGTTGGGGACTGACTGCATGACTATTAGAGGTTACACGTTATTTTAAAAGGAAGATAAATTTAAAATCACTTGATGTGTAGTACATTTTTCCTAGAGTTATTTAAACAATGCAATGTTCAAGTATAGAAACAATCATGCACAATATGGTACTTAATATCAGAAAGTGATACTGCCTATAAGCAATCAATAAATGTTTAAATTAAACAGGCCTTACCTGATAGGAATTTATTATTCCTTAAAATAATATTTAAAATATACTATATATATATAACAGTTTAACAGTAAAAATGTTTAAGTGACAATTATTTGTGTTCCTTAATTTTAAATATTACCATATTTCAATGTGAGAGATGTTTCAAACAATAAGGCTGCAATTAGTACATCTTCTTTAAGCACTTTATTTCTTAAGTTTAGTCGAGCATGGGCTTCAGATAGGGAAACTCTAAAAAAGAAAATTGATATCAATCAAAATATGTTGACAATATAAAAATTATATATTTTGGCAGGAACAAACCAAGACATATGTGACCATAAGCAACACCCTAAGGATCAACATATTCTTTCTTTTGAAAAAATATTTAGTTTATTTTCAAAGCATTTTTCTTACCAAGTTGAACAGACTCTTCCCGAATAAGCAAGTATTTTGACTTATCAAAGAGTTGGTTTCCACCCTTGATTATCTTTATTATTTTATATACCATCTCTCCAAATTCTGTTCAGATAAATACAGAGTTGGAAAATTAAGCTAACTAAATATCTCTTATAGACACATCATTGGTATTTACTTCCAGTTCTTCGTCTATTTGAAGTCCACATAGACTCTTGAAATTTCAGTGTTGGAAGACATCTTTGAGGTTAAAGTTCAAACTCCCATCAGATAATTGAATTGCTTCTATAACACTTAATGTCTAGTCTCTTGAACTTCTCCTAGGATTCACTAGGAATCATGAAGCAATACATGCCTTTATTTTCAAAATATATTTTATTGATTATGCTATTACTTTCCTTTATTTATAAACTATATATGATTACTTGAAGAAACCTCCCTTAATCTCTCATTAGGCATTTGTAATGTACTTGAATGATTGCTGGACTTAGGAATCAGAAAAACTGGGCTAAGTCTCCAGAATTCACTGTGACATTGTATAAATTAATTTCTGACATTATTTTGAAATTCAGCTATAAAATCATTCATAGTGATTTTGTGATTTCAAATAAGGCCATCTTGGGACTCACCTACAAAGATTATATAAATGTAAGCTGAAATTGGTTTCACGGCAATTTCCACCTAGTGGTGGCTGGTTTTGTCTTCTGGGATTACAGAACAAGCGTTAATACTTACATGTGACAGCTCTTCAAATACACAACTTTTCTAGTTGCCCCATGTTTTCTTTTCTCAAGATAAATATTCTAGTCCTTTTAAGATGTCATAAGACATCATGTTCAGGCCCCTCACCATTCTGGCTAGTGGGCAGATGTTAATATTCCTTTTCAGTATAAGTATTATTACAGTTGTGATTCAGTGTTAATATTTCTTTTCAGTATAGTATTATTACAGTTGTGACCAGCAGAATAGAATAGAAATAACATTTTCTTACTCATGATACTATATTCTATTAATGCAACCCCAAATCACAGTGTTGTTACCAGCCATGTATATTGTTGACTCATATTGACCATCAAAAGAATGAAATCTCATCTTTTTCATATTAAGCCGTATCACCCTTTCCCATCCATTTATACTTGTACTAGGAGGTTGAGATCTAATTGAGGATATTACATTTATCCTATTAATTTTCCTGTTAGACTAAGATCATCATTCAAACTTGTGAAGATCTCTCCAGAGTTGCTTATTTACAGATTTACAGATTATCATGTTTCTGATGTTTTACTCAAGTTCCTTGTAGTAGAGGGGGGAGGTTAGAGGGTGGAGGAATGGAACAAAAAGGAAAAAGGACTCATGGATATGGACCACAGTGTGATGATTGCTGAGGGAGGGAGTATAAGGGGGGCTAAATGATAATGGGAAAAAAATGCAATAAAGACTAAGACACAAACACTAAAAAAAATTTTTAAATGGCCAGGACAGAATAGGTATACAGCCTTTCAGGAAAAAAAGAAGACAGTAGTATTGTTCAGCTCTATTTTGGAAAAGCAAGCATGATGTATTAGGTACCTGTCTATCTAAGTAGGAGAAAAATTCAAGATTTATGATTCCTTTGACTAGTGGTTCATTGACTTTGCTATTTCATAATCCCCATCTCCTCTTCTAGGGTTTATTTCTACAATGGGAAAAAGGTACAATTATATTAAAATTGACTGCTTTATTTTTGGATCAATATAATCAAATGCAAACAGATTACTTAAAAAATTATTTTTTACAACAGAGAAAAAATATGAAAAATAGGATTTTTAAAGCTTTAAAGCTTTGAAGCTTTGAGTATTGAGTATTGATTTGAGTATTTTAAATTACTTCAGAAAATGAAAAGTATTGTATAATTTTGTTTACCATTTTAAAGCATCACCATTGATTTCTACCTTGTCTTATCTTCAGTATTTTTTTCATCTCTATAAAGATAAATACACCATTGGGAAAAATTAGCTAAAACATATTTATCTCATATAGGCCCACAGTTGATATTTCCAGCTGGTCCCTCATTTGTCTTATTTTCTATTTCAGTTATAACAAGGTATTTATATATTTAATGGATTGCTTTACTCATAGTCCTACTTTACAATTTTTTTAGATTATATATTAATGTATATCAAATGAAGTAATGGTCTATCAATAGGGGATTATTTAAATCATGGTACAGCCACATCACAACACAGTACAACTAATACAGCTATTAAAACAGAATGAGGTAATTCTTGTTGTGCTGATAGTGTGAGAGTATAATATATATGTGGTCTGTCTGAAAAAAGTCCAGCTGTTGTCAATATAATGAGAATAGTTTGTGCGACATCGGTGTAACCTGGCAGCCAAGGAGAGTGGACTGGAATGTTCATGCATGAACAATGACTTCACTGCACTAGTCAGTGGGGGAACACCATTGAGTGACCATGTGTACTGTGTGGCTGTCATATTCAAAATGACTGAGTAGTAGAGCAACAAATCTGTATCAAATTTCATGTTAAGTTTGAACATTCCTCTGTGGAAACTATTTAGATGATTCAGAAGGCCACAGCTACAGGCAACTGGTGACTGGCAACTTCATCACAACAACATGCCTGCTCATGCATCACTTCCCACGCAGTTTTTTTGGCAAAACATCAAATCAAATCACCCAGGTAACTTAGTCCTGCTACAGCCCAGATTTGGCACCCTGTGACTTCTGCCTTTTCCCAAAACTAAAATCACCTTTGAAAGGGAAGCAATTTCAGAATGTTTATAAGGTTTAAGAAAATACTTCAGGGCAACTGATGGTGATTAGGAGAATTGTGTGAGGTCCCAGAATGCCTACTTTGAAGGGGACCAAGATATCATTGTCCTATATACAATATTTTTTGTATCTTGTATCTCCTTTGATAAATGTCTCTATTTTTCATATTACATGGCTGGATACCTTCTGAACAAGCCTCCCATATACCATGCAAGATTCCACTTGGGCAAAAACAGAATATCCATATTTATATATTTATATATAATATATAGGAATATATATTTCTATATTGTAGTAGATATGTATATATAATGTTTAAATAACATTTCATCTAAAATACATAACATTAAGGTATGTGATATATAACAATACATCATATATTTGATGTATATATGATATATAATATATTTAAACTACATATTTGTACATGCTAGAATTTAAATGGATAATTTCTGGAAGGATACACAAAAACTTTTTTTTAAGATTTTACTTATTTATTTTTAGGCAGAGGGGAAGGGAGGGAGAAAAATAGGGCAAGGAACAATGTGTGGTTGCTACTCATGTACCCACAACTGGGGACCTGGCCTGCAACCCAGGCATGTGCCTTGACTGGGAATTGAACTGGCAACCCTTTGATTCACAGGCTGGGGCTCAGCCCACTGAGCCACACCAGCCAGGGCCACAAAAATTCTTAATAGTGACTAAAGAATTCAAATTTGGGGCCTCGCCCAAAATGAGTTAGTACCAGAGATAACTTTTACAACCTGTCTATAGGACAGGGAAAATATCTAATTACTGCTCATCTGATCTTATTGTCCTGTGAATGACCTTCTTCCCCTCTGAAGCCCAAGGAACCTTATCTCATCCTTAGCTCAGAATGTCACATATACTCATTTAACTTTCCATCCCTGAATATCTCATGTGTGTTGGGTTCCCATATATACTATGTAATTAAACTTGGTTGATTTTCTCTTGTTAATCTGTTTTATGTTGATTTAATTATTAGACCAGCCTGAAAAACCAAGAAAGGTGAAGGAAAATTTCTACCTCCCTACAAATGTGAACGGCCACATTAAAAAAAAAACATTTTCATTTGAAATCAGTATACTTCTCCCAGACACATCTTATACAGAGGGTCCAATAAAGATTAATTTAGTCAAAACAAATCATTGGAGGTTCAAATGATATAATATTGTATATAACAAAAGGAATTGGGTCACTTTAAATTCTTTTGGAACAAAGTAAATTATAAATTGACCAACCAGCAATCAAAGAAAACAAGTAAAACATAAATAAGTTAATTAAACACAGCATTTAAAAGTCAATACGGGCTTTAAAATTTTATATTGAATACCTACAAATATTTTAATGCAGATGCTGACAGTTTTGATCCACATATAGAATCAGTTCTGATTCTACGACTTGCTAGATAATAGCCATGAATCATTCTTTCTGCCTCCAAGCTGAATTCTACATTCAAATTCTTTGCAAAAGCCAGCAGCTAAATTAAAAATGTGAAAAATTTAAGAAACTCAGACTTTATTGTAAAATCTATATTGCAAAAATGCAAAATATATTGTCAGTTTATTTTTAAGCATTTACATATTTTATTTACATTGAAACTGATTAAATAGAGCCATCTCAAAATAATTGAACATTTTATTCATAGTCTTATACTTGTAAGAATATTTAAGTTTACCCCAGATAACCTCTTATTCCCACTTAGTGCAGGAATATTCTGTGCAATGTATTGGAATGACTTTCAAGTCTTTGCTTCAAGTGGAATAAAGGCTCTCTCAGATTCTTTCATTGGGAAAGAAACTTCCACCAGAAGCTCATTTCCCTTTGAATAGCTTTAATTCTTTGACAGTTTATTTCCTTGTAACTTTCCCTCATTGGCCCTAGATGCCCTTCTTCCCTTTAAAGAACACAACTGAATATTAGCAGTGTGGGAGAAATTGTGTTAAATACTATGAATGTGGGTCTTGAATATTCAGTAAGATTTTGGGTAGAGAATACATTTTCAAACTAATGATTATCAATTTTTTTCCCTGAGTTTGTGCTTTTCTTTCTTTCTGATTGCTTTCCAGTTTCTTAAGTCCTCATTCAATGACATTATTTCCATGATCTTCAACTATTCTACTTGTTTTCTGCTTTTAAAAATTGTAGAAAAAATTAACCATAAAATCTTGCTGTTAACTATAATATTTATATTTTCAAAATAACTTTTCTGAAGGATCTGGATGTGTCCTGGGTTGGATATAGCCCGTCTTCTTTATTCTTCTTATACTCTACAGTTCCCTTCAGGCCTTCAGAGCTAGATAATATTGATAACATCAGTAGCCCTCACTGGTTTTTCCCTATGGAGGCCCAGTGATGTTCCACCTATATCCCTACTTCAAAGAAGGACTGTGGCCCAAAGTTCTGGGAGTCCTCTCAGTATTTGACCTCCAGATGTCAGCTTTTTCAGGGATTGCCTCAGGACAGCCCATAACAAATGAATGATTGAGGTGGAAATGGGGAAGGTATTATAAAGCCCCTCTATTTCTATGAAGCAGGACCTCTCTGATAAGTCTCTAGCTCCAGAGCTCATTATGGGGCCAACAAAGGCTATCTTTGGGCCTATAACACAGCTTGACTCCTTCCTCTGTCCAATCCTGCTTTCTTCTCCCTTCTGATGGGGGAACTCAAAAGTTAAACATTTTTAGCTTTAGTTATATAGTGAATAGGCTTGGTGATTAATGCATGTACAAAGCTAATGTTCCAGGAACTGGAATGTGTATGACCAGACCTACTCTGACTCCAGGGGACCCACAAGCAATTCTACCTTTGTGACACAGCAGGACTGTAAGAGAACAAGATGGTATCTGAGCCATTGTGCTCCAGTGAGGAAATGTCTGCCAACAAGGACACAGATAAAGAATCACCATGGGTCAGCAGATGAAAGGATACTAGGAAAATTGCTGTACTGCAGCTTTTATCTGATTAACATTTTTCCTTGAATTCCAAACCCCTTATCTACGTTTTTCCTGAGTTCCAAACTCCTTACCTACCTGCTTCTCCTTATGAAAAAGGTCAGTTTGAGATGGAGATGTAAGACAGACTTTTAGGGTATATAACCTGCCATCTTCTCAGATTGCTGGCCATCTGCATAAAGCACCCATAAAGAGCCAGTCTTTGTCTCTACTTAGTTCTGGTAGTGACAGGCAGCAGGAATGCCGACTTTTCCAATTTCACTTCTACAGATGTTGCCAAGAGGGCACTCCCTAATAATCAATGGCACACTAAGCTCCATCTCAGTTCTCCTCCTGGAGAACCCAGGCTGCAACATATTTCATTCAGTGTTTTTTGTGATACACATATTTATCTTTTGGGGAAATCATTCTCACTATGTCACTAGCCTAGTAAAGTCTATGTCTGTAATTGTTCTCTCCAGTCTGACAAATCAACTATAAACTGCCTGAGCTTTTCAAGACTTACTGCAAATTTGCTGAATCCCAAACTCAATAACTCCAGTCAGGCAAGTCTTTTCATAGTTTCCCGTGTATACTCTTTGCTACTTTTATGTCTCTGCTCCTATTCTTGTTTCTTTTTAGCATTCCAATTCTTCCTATCATCTAAATCTTACCTTTCCTTAAGGCCCAACTAAAGTCTCACCTCTTCTATGAAATATTCCCAACTCTTCTATTGTACTTAATATCCTCCTTGCTAATATCTTAAAATACTTTTTGTCATTGCCACCCTACTTAGCACTTAATTGTCCTTCAATTGTTTTGGGTATCATATTTTTATCTCAACTAAATGATTAACTATTTAAAGAGAATTTATATTTCCATGAGAATTTGAAAAAACATAAATAAGCTCATACATATATTCAGTGAGCACCTAATTAACAAATCCATGCATTTTTTGTTTGTTTCTCAGAGAAAAACTGGGTGAAAATTTCTCCAGATCTTTAGTGTGTCTACATATTCAGTATATTAATTCCTAGAGACAAACTACTTTTTTCTTATATGATAAAAGTAAACAAAAAGACCTTTTCTGTATTATCAATATTGTTATTTTTCTGTGAATAAACAATACTCAGAATTTATTTTTAAGTCTACTTCACCTTTCAACCTTTTACCCATGCAATATGTGTACAAGGAGGACAGGTGTGAAAACAAATTTTAATGACCCATGGATTTCTACTTGCCAATATTCCTTGTCTTTTATACTCAGATACTTTAACTCTACTGTGGACAGATTTCTAAAAGAGTTTCACTTGTAGATACTCGAGTACCTTTAGTAATTATGAAAATCATTACTAAATTTTAATCGCCTATTTTCAGGTTCTCTGAATATGCCACACATATTTTCATGTCAGGACATTAAATGACTTAGTGAGTCATGATAGGTATTCCCTAAAGTGAGAATGCTGAAGGCATTCATATAAACAAAATTCCTTTGAATAGCCTGTAAAATATAAATAACTGTATATCTATCTATACAGCCTCTCATCATATTTTTCATAAAAATAATCTATTTTTATTTCTTTTATTAAGATTCTTTATGCTAAGGTGATTTGGACAGTGATACAAAGAATAACCTCAGCATTTTAATATCTATGTCCTTATATATTTATTTATTTATTTTTAATCCTAAATATTTTCCATACGATGTCTTCAAAATGTTTAAAAGCTAGAAGCAATCTGGAATAAAATAGTCCTAAATGCAGAAAACTGAATGCTCAGAGAAAGTTGTATTTAATTTGTATTTAAATTGAGAAACATTACCACAAGAATTCTTGGCAGTCATTTTTTTTGTATGTGACACATTATCACAAGTATTCTTGGCAGTCATTTTTTCATTCATTCTTTACCTTTTCAAAATCTTCTGTTGTGAACTGTTTAGAAGCTAAATAAAGCAGCCCTTCAGGATCAATGGCTTTCTTTAAAGTATGTTGCACAATAGGAAGAAATGGGTGGCAAGGAGATGATTCATTACAGTTAATCAATAATCCAAATGCCTCTACAAGATTAGCTGGAATTAAACTGCAATCCTACATCAACCAAAAATGTAAAAGGCAAACATTAAGTTCAGGCATTTTCACAAAAACTTTGGAAATAATTATAAATTATTGAAACAGTCATATATTTATAATATTTGATTATATTAAATTATGTATTCATAACTAGTAATTATGATTTATTACTACTAATTATTATTTAGTGATTTCTAAATATTATGAGAACTTTGTGGTGACTACTTTTTTAAAATGCTCTTTATTAAGTATTTTCTTATATATTCTCCTTCAAAGCCTTTACCAAATTCAAATAACAATTTCTAGTAAGCAGATACCTGCTTGAAATTATTTTAAAAACATTAAAAATTTTAAACTGTGTCATTATTTAGTTCTAGTGCCCAATTAAATATAGAAATGGGTAATAACAAAACACTAAAAACAACAAAAGCACTAAGATTAAAATCTGTTGCTAAATGCCCTGAATAACATTCTAACAATAAAATATACAAATACTTTACCATCTGACCAATTAGAGTGTTGGTTTTCTGCATACTTTTCCTTGATGATGAATCCATATCAACGAAAGACCAGAAACTGCACTGAATTGGAAAAGTCATTTGTTGATCGATATCATCCCCAGACTTCTTTCCAGGAATATATACAGTAATGCTTCTGCTTTCCATAACTAAATCAAAGACATTACCCATTTGTTATTTAAGTTCATTTCAGTCTATGTATCTATAAGTCAATAATAAATATTGTGTAGAATCTCACTGTCTAAATTTTAGATAATATAGACACGAGTAAATTTGTTCTGCAAGATATAAATGTCTGAATTAGAAGATATGCCATAAAAGTAACAAGGCAAGAAAATATTTTAATGTTTTTATGTCCTATGACTTGATGAGAGCCAGCCATCCAAAGCTTGTAGCTAGTACTGTGGTCAGTGTCTGGGTGGAATACACAGAAGGTTAGGACTAAGATTGGTCATTCAGTGCAAGCTTACGAGGGAGGCTGAAATAAAGCCATATTCTTTTATGTGAAAAAATAATGATGGAAAGTGGGCTATTTATGTGTGAGTGAAAAAGAAAAAGGCTGAGAGAGAATATGAACTACAATGACAAGGGGGAATAAATCTCAAATTTAATATGTTCAAAACCAAATCACTTCTCCTTAAATGGCTCTGTGTGAATTATTCATGATTGGGATATCACCATCCAAGCACTTAAAACCCAAACAAAAAGGTGTAGAAACATTCTATTCTTTTTTCTATCTGTCCCTCAACCCACTCAATCTATGAATTCAATACTATTTCTAGGATTCTATCTCCCAACCATTTCTCAAATTAGTCTTCTCTCCACTCATGATAATAGTCTTTTTTATGAATGTTTTTCTTTGCCTTGGGTCATAAGGTAAATATATACATTTAACTCTATAGAAACTGCCAGACCAATTTGTAAGATGGTGTACTATTTTACATTCTCATCAATAAAATAAGAGAATTTCTGTTTCTCCATATCCTTAGCAATTTTGGTTGTTGTCAACCTTTTAAAATTTTTGTCATTCTAGTAACCAGCACCCAGCTACATAATTTGTGGGGCTTAGTGTAAAATGAAAGTCTGGGCCTCTTACTCAAAAAGATCAGGGAAAATCTGCTAAAATACTAATATCCAATATATAAAGCTTTTTCCTTAAAAAATGTTATTACTTATAAAATGTAATGGGGTGATATGGAGAAATTAGAACACTCATACATTATTGTTGGGACTGTAAGAGGGTATGACTACTGTAGAAAAGTTTGGTGGTTCCTCATAAAGTTAAACATAGAATTACCCTATGATCCAGCAATTCCACTTCCAGGTATAATACCCAAAAGAGTTAAGGGCAAAAAAATAAATAAATTTTAAGAAATTGGCATGTATGTAGTTAAATAAATATTATCCAGCCATAAAAGGGAATCAGATTCTATGAACAGGCAAATTCATAGAGAAAGAAAGTAGAATAGAGATTACCAAGGACTGGAGGGAACAGGGAACAGGGATTTACTATTTAATTGGTACAGACTTCTGTTTGGGGTAATTAAAAAGTTCCTGGAAATAGACAATGGCGATGTTTGCACATTATAAATGTACTTAATGCTAGTGAATTATACACTTAAAAGTGGTTAAAATGCTAAATCTTATCCTGTATGTATTTTACCAGAATTTTTAATAAAAGGAATATAGTAATGACACATGCTACAACATGGCTGAATCTCAAAAACACTATGGTGAGTAAAAGAAACCAGTCACAAAAGACCACATTATCATAGAATTCCATGTACAAGAAATGTCCAGAACAGGCTAATCTATAGAGACAGAAAGCAAATTAGGTTGCCAGGGACTGTGAGAAGAAGGAGTTTGAAGAGATGACTGCTAATGAGTATGGGGTTTCCTTTTGGGGTGTTGAAAATGTTCTGAAAGACAGTGATGATGGCTTTATAACTCTGTAAGTATTCTAAAAACCAGTAAACTGTACACTTTAAGTGGTAAATTATATGGTATGCAAATTATATCTCAATAAAGCGGTTACCAAAAAAATGTATAGATGTAATTGCCATTCTAAAACTAATTTTTTTTAAAAATATTGATTTTTAGAGAGAAAGAAAGGAAGGCGGTAGAGAGAGATATCAAATTGTATGTTCAACTTGAATAAGAATCAACTTATTCATTCTTACATGTGCCCTGACCCAGTATCAAACCTGCAGTCTTGGCAAATCAGGACGATGCTCTAGCCAACTGAGCTACCTGGCCAGGGCCTAAAACTAAAATTTTTAATTATTGGCAGGAATATTGCCATTTATCTTTATATGGTGCAATACCAATTTTAAATACAAATAAATGATCTTTTAACTCATATGTGAAATCACTAATATATATAGCTTATATTGTATCTAGTATATATGTAATATAGGTGATACATACAATATATATTGTATAGCATATAACATATACACTCCATGTAATATATAATATATAATATATAATATATAGATAGTTACTTAGAACATATATTCCATGTATGCTATATTCTATACAATATACTGCACATTATGTTATATTATATACTATATACAATCTATTGTATAATATATATTATATGTCATATAATGTTATGGTATAATATGTAATATAATGTATTGGATATGATTATATGTGATATATAATAACAGTATAATATAAATTGTATATAATATATTTTATAATATATAAAATATTAGTGTAATGCACTAATACCAAAATTGGACAATTATAATATATTATACTATGTTATATAATATAGTCTAGCTAAAATATTCTCTCTATATATATTTCTTTCAGAACAGTGGAAATGCTGCACAAACCTGTATTTTATTTTGCTTATTGATATGCATCAGTAATGCATGATGAATTAGCTTATTGATGAATAAGGAAGGACTAAAAGGAAAAGAAACTAAGCATTGCCCTATCTTTCCCTTTCCTCCTATATCATCAATTTCAGTGTAAGTAGTTGGCAAATACAGGAAAGTAACCAAGTAAGAAAAGATATGATGGTGTTCCTTGGTCATTTGTGTTTCTTAGATTACCACTACTTGCCTTCTATATAAAAAGCAAGTCTGGTTTGAAGGGAAAGTGTGACCTCTTGGGAGCTATTGACTCCCTTACCTAGTTGAAAATGTCTTGATATGGAACATTAGCACAGTGTTGTAGTGTACTTGCAATACATGGGAGTCCAGAGAGAACAAAACTGATTACAAATTGTGCAGCTGCATAGTGATTGCAAATGCTATGTGAAATAAGGGCAACAAGGCATGGTAAACACATGCATCCATGTATCTCCACTGCTTACATACATGCTCATCTGTCTGGACTTCCTTAAAACACAAGTTTGAAGATAAAAATCATTAAAAATTTGAAGATGGTGACAGTAGAGTTTGAACCAAGTCCCAGCCTGTTCTAGGAAGAGGAGGGCCTTTGTGAAACTATACTTGTTCCATGTCCATGAAGCAGGCCCTCCTAGTATGTGAATGTAGGTATCTCATGGCAGTTTTATTTTCATTTCCCTGGTATGATAATGATAATGATATCATATGCATATCATAATGGTATGAAAGTGGATGATAATGAGCACTCTTTCATATGCTTATTAGTCATTTTGTATATATTTGTGAAGTCACTATTCAAGTCTTTTGACCATTTTAGACTGGGTTCTTTGTTTTTTAAATTATTGACTTACAGGGAGTGTTTCTATGTTCTATGTGTATGTCTGATGTCAGATATATGTATTGCAATTATTTTCTTTTTATTCACTTATCTACTCACTCTTTAAATGGGGCCTTTTCACGTGTATAACTTTTGAGTTCCGATGAAGTCCACTTTATCAATTATCTTCTGTTTATGGCTTTCTAAGTCCTAAGAAATATTTGCTTACCTTAAAATCATGAAGATATTCTATGTTTTCTTTCTTCTAGGGCCTTATAATATTAGTTTTGACACTTAAGTATATGATCCATCTTTACTTAATTAGTTTATAGTTGAGGTGAGCTAATGCTAATTTGGTTACATATATATATAACCAAATTGTCCACCATCATTTGCTGAAAAACATTTTCTTTCTCCATTTACTTGCTTTGGTGCCATAGTCAAAAATAAATTCACCATATTAGTGTGGGTCTCTTTCTGCATTCTCTTCTAGGGAGAGGGAATATACTATGTGCCCTGAGCATTGCTGCACATTCTTGTTGCTATTCCAAGAATACAAGGCCCTGACTGCTTTTTGCCCAGTCCATACCTGTCCATATCCTTGTTAATTACAAATCTACCCCAAACTGTGTAATCTACTAATACCAAAACTGGACAAAAACATGGTAAGAAAAATGCAGATCAATATTTCTTGTGAATAAGGATTTAAAAATCCTCGACAAAATATAAGCACATTGAATCCAACAATGTATAAAAAGAATTACATACTACAGCCAGGTGGGCTTTATTCTAAGTAAGTGAAAATGGCTCAACATTTGAAAGTCAATTAATGTAATCCATAATATCAACAGGCTATAGAAGAAAAATTACATTATTACATCAATATATGCATAAAAAGCATTTGATAAAATCCAACACCCATTTATTTTTTTAAAAAATCTCAGTAGATTAGGAATAGAGGACTATGCCTTCAACTTGAAAGAGAGAACTCAAAGCTTTCCTGCTAAGATTAGGAACAAGTCAAGGATGTCCCTTCTTACTACTGCTTTTCAATATCATATTGGAAGTTCTACTTAATGCAATAAGACAAGAAAGGAAATAAATCTATTTCAACAAAAACTCATGTGTTAGCACAACTGAGAGCAAAGGCTAAAACAGTACATTTGCACATTAAAGTCCTCTGTTTTTATTTATAAAGATAAAATGAGACATTTTATCTTTACATTTAGTATAATTTCTCAATTTCTAAAATAAGTATAATACAATCTTAACTGTTAAATAATGCTTTGTCACTGGTGAAACTATAAATTAAACAGGTGAAAATTAATTTGTTACCCCAGTCAGGTAGCTCAGTTGGTTAGAGCATCATCCAGATATGCCAAGGCTGTGGCTTTGATTTCTGGTCAGGGCACATACAAGAAGAAACCAATGAATGCATCAATAAGTGGAACGACAAATCCATGTTTCTCTCTCTCTAAAAATCAATCAATAAAAATATTTTAAAAATAAAATTCATTTGAAAAATATATTGTTTACCTGATTGAAGTTGTTCGAGTTTATCTTTTTTATGTGAAGCCAAGTCTCCTATAAAGCAGATACCACCTTTAGCCAGCAAAGCACTGCCAGCTTGAATGCTAACCGCTCCAGTTCCATAGTTATTCCTGGACAGAGTAGGAAAAATTTCAGTAGAGACTGGATGACGTACACCACGGGGCACAAGGTTTATACTAAAATTCAAAAGCCTAGGGAAAAATAAATTATTCATTACTATTATTTAATATTTGTTTTTCAGAAATCATAATGTGTAACGGCTACACAATCAAATTTAATTTGACTCAATTTTTACTGAGCTAGGGATAAAAACATATATAAAACTTACTCCTTTACTTGCAAAACTCACAGCCAAGAAAGAGACATAAACAAGAAACTAAGATACAATGTGAAAAATACTGAAATAATGTTTTGAGAACATCCATAAGAGAGTATTATTTCTTCCTGGAAGTAAGTCAGAGAAAAGTACAGAGAGATGACATTTGAACTGGGTCTTCCTCATTTTATGGATTGTTTTCTTTTGTTTACTTGGAATTTTTGCATTTAGGCTTGCCAATAGCCCATCATGACTATTCCTGCTGCCCGTGCTCTGTATCATGGTAACTTCAGGGAGGTTTTGCTTTCTAATCTCTTTGCCAACTGCCTCAGCCTCGTTATTTCTCAAATTTAAATTCTAAGAAAAGAATATGATTATCTTAGCTTAGCTTTCAAATCCTTGCCACAGAGATCATAGCTTGTGGGTGCAATCAACTATGAGCACTAAACATAGACACACAGAGCAAATATAGAAGAAGCAGCATCCCCTAAGTGTGGATAAGTAGATGTTATAAAATGTCTACTGTATGTGCCATTCCAAGGAATTTGGATGTTAGTTTGAAGATTATAAAAATGGGGCAGTGAAATTTAGAAAGAAACTTGCAAACTTTTAGAGCAGTGGTTCTCAAACCTAACTCACATTAAAATTACCTGTGAAGTTTTAAAAAATTCCAGTGTCAAGCTCCACCCCAAAGCAGGGAAATTAGAACTGTGGGCATGGCCCATACGCATATATCTTCTCCCAGGTGATTCTAGTGTGCAGTCAGGGTTAGAGCCTAGTTACATAGAACAATGGGCCTCAAACTTGGCTACACATTGAAATCAGCTGAGGAATTAAAAAAAACACTGATACAAGGTCACAGAATACAAGATCAAAGTAAAAAACAATTGTATTTCTATATATTCACAGAAACTATTTGAAAAATGAAAATAAAAAAACAGTGGCCTTTTTAAAAAAATCCTCACTCAAGAATATGTTTACTGATGAGAGAGAGAGGAAAGTAGGGGACAGAAACATCAATCTGAGAGAGAAGCATCCATCCACTCATCGGCCACCTCCCGAATGCACCCCTGCCGAGGTTCAAACCTGAAACCTTTTCAGTATATGAGACAATGCTCCAAACAACTAAGCCACCCATCCACTACAAACACCACCATTTTTAATAGCGTCAAAAATCTCGAACACTTAGAAGTCAACTTAAAATATGTTCATGACCTTTACAAAACATTGCTGAGTGAAATTATGAAAGATTTAAATAAATGAACATGTACACCATATACATAGGTTGAAAGACCCAGCATTGTTAAAAGATAAATTCTCCCCCAAATTGATTTATAAGTTAAATGCAGTTCCAATGAAAAATTTTAAAAGCTTATTTGAGAGGGAGTAGTGGATGAGGTTAGAATTAACATATGAATTCCAAACTTTATAAGAAAATGCAAAGGACCTAAAACAGTGGGAAAAAAACAAAAATGAGGAATAAAGTCACACCACCTGATTCAAAACTTAACAGAGCTACAATAATGAAGAATGTGCAGCATTGGCATAATTATAGACAAATGGGTCAAAATAACAGAAAAGAGAGTTCAGATGATTTATACCCAGTTCAATTTTATAACTAGTTTACATCCAGTTCAATTGCTTTTCAGTGATGGCACCAAAACAATTCAATGGGGGGAAGGAAAGTCTCTCCAACAAATGATATACAAAAATTAAATAAGTGCATAGCAAAAACATTAATCTTGACTTCTACCTCAAACCACATACAAAAATTAGCTTGTGATAGATAAGAGACCTAATATTAAAGTAAAAGCTATAATGCTTCTAGAAGGAAACACAAAATAATATATTTATGACCTTGGGGTTGACAAAGATTTCTTAAGCAGAATCCATAAAACACTAAACATATAAGAAAATAATAAATTGGGGTTCATCAAAACTAAGAAGTCTGCTCATCAAATATACCTCAGTTTTAGATTGGTAGAAAAATTTCATGATATACATACATGACAAAGGGTGCATATCCAGAGCAACCCCATTTAAAAGTGAGCAAAGGACTTGAACAGAAGCTTCGTAAAAGATATATGATAGCAAATAAGCACATGAAAAAGGGCTCAAATCACAAGTCACCAGGGAAATGCAAGTTAAGAATCACAGTGAGCTACCATTTCATATATACTAGAATAGCTAAATTGAGAAAGACTGACAACATCAAATGTTGGTGAGAATAGAAACAACTGGAACCTTACATCATTAGTAGGGATGTAAAATGGTATAACCACTTTAGAAAAATGGCAGTTCCTTATGAAGTGAAATACACACCTACATTATGTCACAGCATTTCTACTCTTTAGTATTTATCCAAGGTAATGAAAATGCATGTCCACAGAAAGACTAGTGCAATAATGTTTACAGTAGCTTTATTTATAATAGTCAAAACATGCAAAACCTGAATCTTCATCACCAGAAGAATCTATAAACAAATTCTGCTATATTCATATAATGGAATTCTACTAATAAATAATAACAATAAAATACTGATATGCACAACTGGGTCAATCTCAAAAACATTTTAAGTGAAAGAGACTAGACCCAAGAGTATGCACTGTATTCCCTTGCTGGGTAGCTAAGTTAGTTAGAGTGTCATCCTGATATGTGGGGAGGTGTGGGTTCCATCCCTGGTCAGTGCACATACAAGAAGGAACCAACGGATGCACAAATAAGAGGAATAACAAATATCTCTCTGTCCTTCCCCCCTCTCTAAAATCAATTTTTAAAAAAGATTATGCACTGTATGATTCTACTTATATAAAGTTTTAGAAAATGGAAATTAATCTATGGTGACAGAAATCACCTGTGGAGATAGGCACTGTTTGGAAGAGGGAATGGAAGAACTTTCTGCGGTGGTGGAAATGTTCTATATTGTTGTGATGGCTACAGGAGTATATGCACTTATTAATCATCAAATTGTATACTTAAGATCTGATTATTTCACTATATATAAACTTTACCTAAAGACAAAACACCACACAGCCTCAAATACCATAGGAAAAGTAAAAGGAATGACAAACAGGAAAAGAGACAATGGTCTTAATTTATAACAGGTATCATAAATCAATAAGAAATAAACAACTAAATAGAAAAGTGAGAAATGATCAAAAAGTTTCATAGGAAGATAACAGAAGTGTTTACCAAACTATAAATGGTGCCAAAATTTATTCCCAGTTAAAGAAATGTAAATCGAATAAATATAATTTTCCGTCCTTCAGATGGAAAAATTTTAAAGTTTGATACTATCCAGCACTGGTGAGGTGGTAAGGAAACAAATACTTTTATGCTCATATAGGAAAATTCAATTGGTATAATCTGTAGGAGTTAGCACCATACTTACATTGCAATTTAATTTTAGCAAAAACATTTGAATTTTTGTTTTATTCTGGTAATTTTAAATTCACTCTATATATTTGTTTTTCTTTATAATTGCATATAAAATTTTATTATAAAAAGCACATTCTTAGCTTTTTGAATATTTATGTAACTTTTTAAAATGGGTACTTGCTAGCAAGGAGCCCCAAAAGCTGAGTTAAGGCTTATTCTAATGTTGGGGTGATGCTCCCCAAACAGTGATTTGGGCACTTTTGACAGCATTATTTGGGTACAGTGAGTCAGTACTACTGAATAGAATGTTAAAGAAAAGTAAGGAAATGGCTTGTTGGCTCTTAGAGGGGGAGATTATTTAAAAATGAAAATAAAGTACAAAAGCAAAATGCTAAGATAAGGGATGGGGGAAAAGGAAGCCTGTATGATGCATTTATTTGTAAAGGTCAGAGTGCGAAATAGGTTGAAACTTTAAATGGTTAAAATAGATTCTCAAAATATTAAAAGCAAACATCCCATTTCTCAATCCATGTTTTAAAACTTTTAAACTTTATTGATAAAAGTTCATTTAAATAATTTTTTGCCCAGATAAATCCTAAATATTTGTCTTGTAATAATGTTCATGGAAAGCATTAAATAATTAAATCTGTGACCAATTTATAATTTGAAAAATTTCATGTCACATATTTTACCTGTCTACAAGTAGAGAGTCACTTGTTACAATTAAAATGTCCAGGCAATCTTCCACTTCCTTGTTAAAGTCCCTTGTCTGTACTAGACTCATCAGCAAACACAGCTTGAGCAAATTGTAAGTCCCAGGAGGAACAATGTGTGATGCAAAGGTACTGGTAAGTATTGCTGTAAACTTCCAGCATGAGCTGGCAGTCAAAGAGAGGAGACACCTGAAATTGTCACTAATTCCTGAAGGAACTGTAAGTAAATAATAACACATACATTAAAAGGGGTTTGAAAAAAACAAAAAAGACATTATAGATACATAATTCATCTAAAATATTACAAAAATATAATTCTTCAATGATACCATATTCAAATTATAATAATGATACTAAATTATGATGATTTGAGGTCACTCAGGTCTGTCATTTGTATCCCAGGAAACATGATAAAAGGAAGCAGTCACCCCAAGTGTCCATGTAGACTGACTGTGGGTTGCAAACAAATCCCTCTTTTAAGACCTATGTGAGCAAAGCCACATCATAGAGCTCCTGTACTGTAGTGTTTGCTTTTTTATTTCCATGTTTGAAATAATATTACCTGGAGGGCTAAAAAGCAGAATGGGAAATATTTGACTGTTGCTGTTAAAGGGAAAGACTAGTTTACTAATTTGAAAGCATTGTACTGTACTCTACAGTAACAGTCTAGAACTCCATTCCCTCTGTCCAACTCCTGAAAGGAATGAGTGATTTAATCAAATTGGTCAGTTTGGGAGGAACAGCTATGCATATATAACCCAGTCCCTTTCTCCTTCTTCTTGGGCTCCCATCATAGAGCATTGGTTTCTTCTACTCACGCATGCCCATGGACCAAGGAAGGCCCACCTTAGTGTAGCTCTTGCCACATCTGTGTGGTTAAATCTGCCTAATTCTGGAGTTCAGCACGAGAAAGCAGTTTTTCACCTACACATAAGCCAGGTTCTGCTACCAAACTAATACATCTCGAAATACCTCACAGCAGAAAATATTTAAAAGATCACTAAAATGTGTATTGTTCATTAGTGCCTTCCTTTCTTCAACATTTTTATTGTTAAGAAGCAGTCTCTTCAAGATAAGCAGAGGTATCTAGAATCTAAAGTCAATTTAAATGCATTTAAATTCAACTTGGACCTCTATTATTGCAAATGGTTATGTAAAAATTCTTTAAAAAATCTAACTCTATCAAGATTTAACTAGCTTTCCTTACATTTAGATATTTGTGTGCCAAGTTAAAAGAGTAGGTCTGCTCTCCATTTTTGTTTACCTAATGCTTAATTTTGTTTGAGTTGTTAAAGAAATAATAAGTTGTCAGTAATAAAGGTGATATTTTGCCTTTCTATTTTGTCTTATGACTCAATTGGTCCAGAACTCAGATGAGAAGGATGCTATTTTATTGGGCTCTCTTTCTCAGTTCACAAGCTAAGATCCAGCTAAGCCTAGAAAATAAAGGTTAGGGTAGTAAGACCTTTTAACTAGTCTTTAACTCTTGGTACCCTGAAACATTTTTCTCATTGCTAATTATTAAAATAATAATAATAATAATAATAATATTTAGCCAAAAAAAAGAAAGAAAAAGATTTCCTGTGGACAAGGTTCTACATTGTCCCATTTTTTCCTTCATAGAATTTATTATCTGAAATTGTCTTACTGATTAGTTTACTATCACCTGATTTCAGAGTAGGAACCTTAACTGTCCTGAGCACTGTATCCTTAGTGCTCAGAAGAATGCCCAGCACATAGGCAGCCAATACTTATTTCCTAAGCAAATGGATTTAAATTTAAATATTTGTTAATATATATATACTATATATTTTCCTTACCTTTTGGATTGCAAAAAGTGATGCTATTTGCCTCTATACAGACAGAAGTTTGTAAAGTTTTTACACAGGTTGGAATTCCAATAATTTTATACTCATTTCCTATATTCATTTTATTCACTGATTCGTCTAAAATTATTAAACACAAAAGAAAATGTGTTCACTAAATGAAACTTATACATGATCATATGGTTCAAAGATCTCAAATAGTAACAATTTGGTAATTACATTAGTTGTAAAGTATTTACTTGTATTTAGTGTAATATCCATACAGAATGGCAGTAATGTAAATTGAGGCAATTTTATTGCTGATAAATTTTGACACTTATGGGCAATGATGAATTAACTTCAAGGAACATGTGACATAACAATTAGGTAGTCTCCTATATAGTCAAAACAAAAAAACAAGCTCATTCTATTTAAGATGAAATATTTTTGCATTAAATGATAGGAAATGTTAATAAACATGATCTTATAAATAATATTTTATTTGGGAATAAAATAATTTTAAAAGGTCTACAATATAGGCAAGGTACTTTGATATACAATACCCAATTGTAAACTAAAAAATAGATATTGTCATATCCATTTTATATATGAAGAAACTGAGAGGGTAAGTGACTTGCACAAGGCTAAATAATTAAGTACCGAAACTGAGATTCACATGTAGGTCTACTCTCTTGCACTATCCTAGGTTCCTCTCTCATACCTACATATTGGGCAAAGTTTTTGTACAAGTTCAAATCTCATTTTAAAAGACCATACACCAAAAGTCTCGATCCTCCATTACACAGTTAGAAGTTGGGTAGTTGTAAAGCTATACGAAAAAGGTTTATAAAGAGATTAACTTCTCTCTGAGAAGAAAATTAAACAGTGATCTCCATTTTTAATTCTTTTAAAAAATATATTTATTTATTATTTTTAGGCAGAGGGGAAGGGAGAGGAAGAGGGAGAGAAACATCAATGTGTGGTTGTCTCTCACATGCCCCCCACCAGGGACCTGACCTGCAAACCCAGGGGCATGCCCTGACTGGGAATTGAACCAGCGACCCTCGAATTCACAGGCTCGTGCTCAATCCACTGAGCCATATCAGCCAGGGCTCCATTTTTAATTCTTTTCTCTGTTGCACTATTTTTTTAAGCTTCAGAGAGCATACTGAAACAACTAAATTATACAAGGGGAATTAATTACAAGGGGAAAATAAAAATAATAGTTTTTCAACTGTGCCATGGAATCTTAGAGTTTGATGGATATGTTCTGAAAAGGTCAAGAGGAAGACAAGTCTGGGAAGTCTGATCTGAACCCCAAAGCGCATGCTCTTATTCATTTAATTTTTAAAAATGTATTTGGGTTCTACATAAGGGTTTATATGAAGAAAGGGTTTTCTACTAAATATAAACTGGATAGCCACTTATATTCATACATTGTAATGTATGGTTTACATACAATATATAATGGAATCAAGTAGTTAAAAGCATGTATTTTGAAACTGGAATGCCTGAGTGTGAACCATGACTGTGCCATGTACCAGTCGTATGACCTTTGACAAGTTACTTAACTTCTCTGTGTCTGTTTCCACATTGTAAAATGAAAATAACAATAGAACCTGTTGCTAAGATTGCTGTGACTAAATGAGTTAATATCTGTACAAGTGCTAGGCACACAGTAACTGCTATATAAAAATTGTATATTATTATCTAGGCTTACTTACATACCTGCCTCATCCTTGACAGGTCATGGTGAAGAGTTCTTATTTGAGTCTCTACTTTCCTAACTCTTACATTTCCTATAGATAGTTGGCATCCAAGATCCCTTTTTCTGAACAGTTTAATTCCTCCACCCAAGAAAAGAGGCTGATCCATCTCCTCATTTTCACAATTCTGGCTTCTCACCACTTCCCTGGGTTATTGATACTGATAATTTCCTCCTTCATGGCAGATGCTGCTGTGTAGTTCTTTACCCATGCAGTTCTCAACAGTTAATCATATGTCAATGCGCATTCATTTATATAACATTTATTGAGTTTTTACCATGTGTAGTAAAAAATCTAAGTCCCTACCCTCATGAAGTCTATATTCTAAAACAATAAGTACAATACTTTCATAGCACACATGCAAAGGATGGGAGATTATTACCATAAATAATCATGACTTTGAGACTTAACACAGTGCTTGGAACATAGCAGGTCCTAACATCTTTTTAAATACATGTTTATGACTAAATGAGTAATTGCCACATAGCTAAATATGACTCTCTAAAATGCTCAAGTAAGATGACCTATCATTCTTAAGCAGTTCCCCTTATCTGTGGGAGAAATGTTGTAGTGGATGCCTGAAAGTGCAGATAGTACCAAACTCTATACAGTCTGGCACAAAATAACACCCATTTTTTATTATAAAATCTTTTACTGCAAAATCATAAGCCTGTAATTCTGTAACATAGCAATATCACACTCAAGCACACCATACAACATTTTAGGTGAAACGTTCGAATTAAAATTATAAATCACTACAACCATATATATTATTACCCTACCAACCACACTCAAGCAGGACTTACTTCTGCCAGAACCCATATATACTGTTTTTTCTACACATACAAACATTTGATAAAATTTAATTTATAAGTTATTCACAATAAGAGATGAACACCAATAACTAATAATAAACTAGAACAATTATAACGATATATATAAAAGAAGTGAACGTGGCATTATTATGTAAAAAAATTACTTAAACACAAGCACTGTCAATCCTTGACAGTTGATATGATAATCTAGATGGCTAGTAAGTAACAAATAACAAACAGGCAGGGAGTGTGTACAACATGGAGATGCTAGACAAAAGGATGATTCGCTTCCCAGGATATTTCATCACACTACTCAGAATGGTATATAATTTAAAACTTATAAATTGTTTACTTCTGGAATTTTCCATTTAATGTTTTCAGACCATGGTGGACCATGGGTAACTGAAACCATGGAAAGTGAAACTATAGATACAGGGGAACTACTGTGTAATATAAAAGCATAAGTAAGTCAATTACATATTTTATATATTTCATAGCAATTTGCTTTTAGTTCAAACAAAACTTACCTCTTAGGAAAATTGTAAGAGATTGAAACCTAAATGGCTGGTTGTTAGAATATCCTTGAAAAGCATGAAGTGCCTTTGTAGTAATTATTTCAACTATCTGTTTATCTTAAGGCAAAGAGCAAAAAAGAATGTTATCAGAATACATATTCAATTTAATTTCCACATTAAAATATCAATTTTAAAATACTTTAAAAATTGAAATGAAAATGTAAATGCATTTTTACCACCAAGTACTCTAAATTTTCTGTCTTCTTGAAGTGGAGAGGAACACAGATTACACAAAAAGTCATTTCTTACTGTTGCAGATTCTGTAGCGCCAGGCACGTGCACTCTTATATACTGAAATCCTGAGGAAAAAAAAAAATTGCTGGGAATCACCCTTCCTGGTTTCAGAAGCTGTAAACCCCCCCCCCCCCCATGGCTAAAGGTGAGTGAGAATGAGCTAAGATGTCCAAGCTTTCTTGCCTGCTTCTAACTGGAACCCTAAACCACTAAAGAGACAAAGCTTATCTCCCTGGGAGGGACACCACCTCTACCCTCTTTACTTCACCCTGACTGGCCTCCAGTGGATGACTGGTTACCTAATGACAAGTAAGATTCTTCAAGGGAGGGACAACCTAAGACAGGCATGGTCACAAGGAGCCCTCAGGGAAGGGCTTGGGGGCTATAGAAAAAGGGGTGATGGACCCTCACCCCTTAGTTTTGACATAGCCTGAGTCCTCATTCTGTCTGCAAGAAGTCTCCTAATCTCTTGGCTACTTTACTTCCCCTGCCCAATTTAAGCCTGAAACAATGCAGGGAGGTGGGTGTGGCCCTGTGCTGGAAAGGGCAGGTTCCCTGGAGCAATCAGGCCTAAGAAAGAATACATAAAATCATGTGAAACCTACTTTGCTAATACTCTCAATTTAAATGATAAAGGTCCAAGCATGAAATGAATTTGTTTCCCCAAAGTTTTACGACCCTTTAGTTAACTGACCCTGACTCAAAATAAGGCCTCATAATTCTTTGAATGTTATTTGTTGTTTGACCATTACTGCCTGACAATGATTGATGAGCTTTACTTATACACCCCAAATTCCTATGCAAATGAACCCAATAAAAGCCCATTGAGGAAAAGGCTCCTGGCCCTTCTCCTTTGAGAGTTCAGCCACATTTCCTTTCCAAGTAGATCATATCTTGGTAGATTTGGGAACTCTGTGGGCAAAGATACTCCACACAAAACAAAACAGATATAAGCTAAATTTGCTTTTGATTTAGCTATTTTTAGTCCTTTAAAATTAATCTAATTCAAAGTATAATTAATTAAATTTTGTGTGTGGTTCAGAGCAGTTCAATTAACATTTATTGCATGGCTATTTCTTGCCAAACACTGTGCTAATGCACTGGTAATATGGATACTTAAAAACACAATTTCGATGGGTAGCAGTAAGGAAACAGATAATTTCGGTATGCAGTATTTATTTACAGAGTTTTCAGAGAGAAGAGAAGAGAAGCATTCTAACCAATGAGAGGTGGAGATGAATGGACATGTCCTGGAGAAAAACCAAACTGAAGTTAAGCCAAACAGCTGAGAGAGGATATTACAAGGAGTGGGAACAGCATGAACAAACTTTCATGAAACAATCTGAGAAAAACAAGTACATCTGTGATACAAGAGTATCTGTCATATTGGTGGGAGAAGAGAGGAAAAAACGTATTTAACTTGTAAACATTAGAAGACATCAAATTTTCTAACATTCTTTTTACTCTGTGAATATTTTATAACTAATTGTAAACATGATTTACAATTAAATAATACATTGCTTAATGTTCTGATTTTACATTTCAACATTTACCTTTTGAAAGAAGGCATGCTTCATCTGAACAAAGAAATCTTGCACCTTGTGTATACTTGGTTACAGTTGTCATTGCGATCACAATTCCTTGCATCATATAAAATCTTTGAGATGTATAATCAAATGGAAACTCACAAAAATTAAGACTATAACTTGGCAGAGGAGGTAAATGTGTTAACTTCAGCACTATATTAATCTAACAAGAACATAAATGTGATGTTAATAAAAACTGCAGATCCAACTGGACTTGCATTACAATATATATTTGTAGGATAAAGCAAGTAAATGATTTGTTAATGTTATTAGAAAACAAAATTTTAAGCAAAAAAGAGATACAAATGTACAATTAAAGGTTCAAAACCCTTATAATCTTACATTTTAATTGAAAATATCATTATTTTTCTTAAAAATACACATTTCCTGAAAAGATATAAAACAATAACAACCCAATAGCAGGGAACACTTCTACTGCTCAGATTGTGATTGATAACTATAATTTTCCAAGAAAAGAAAACAAGGCTCCTTAAGGGAAGTGGCTCATTCCAGGTCTGGGGCAGAAAATATACCAGATGGACCTGGTACATCTCCTTGTGCCAGAAACCAAAGGAGCTATAGAAAACCAGTGGGATGGGTCCAAATGAGACAGGAGCAAACTTTAAAGGAACTCCCAATGACCAAAGGTAGAATAGTAAAAACAATTCATTAAAATGCATCAGATATATTTAAAAATTCATGAGTTCCTCATAGTTTTTTTAAAGAAAACACAAAACATTAATTGGTTATCATTAGAAGCTAGATTTCAACTCATTACTCTTTGAAAGTTTATAAATGGAAATAATCAAACATTTGTTCTGCCTTTCTTACAAAAATTCTATTTCAGAGTAATCAAATAGTTGATAAAGGAAACTTCTCTTATAGAATAATTTCAGCTAGTAAATTCTGAAAGGATGCCAAAGTTTTTTTAAAAGTCACAATTTTGCAACTCCTAATGAAATAATAAAGTATAGGCAATGATCATCAATGGCTGCAAAAACCATTAGGTGAAAGTTAATAGGAGACTGTATAATGGAGGGATTCGGATACATCACCTGAACCCACTAATCCATTGTAGCATTGCTACAATGGGGACAACAGATAGTATAGTTCTCATACTGTAGTGCAATATGAAATACATGAAACTTTCAGGCATTGTTGTCAAAATGAGTTGAATCTGAATCTAAGCAAGTTTTTAGAGCCAATTTCTATTTTATAGAAATATTGGGTATAGAGGAATAAATTAAATACCACAAGAACATAATCAGAAAAATCCAGATTGAGGCATTTTACAGAACAATTAACCAGTTTCTTAAAAAAAATCAGTGGTATAAAAAGGGACAGGAGGAAAATGGCTCTATATTAAAAGAGCCTTAGTGAGTGAGATATAAGAACCAATTATAATGTATAAACCTTGTTTTGATCCTGATTTGAACAAATTCAACCACGAAACATTCTTGAGGCCCCAACTAGTTAAATTTAAATATGGACTGGATATTACAATAATACCAAAGAATTACTATTATTGCAGGGGTGATAATGGCATTGTGATTATAAGAAAAATGTCCACAATTTTTAGAGTTGACACTGAAGTATGTAGGGGTGAAATAACAGAATATCTAGGTTTGTTTTAAAATATTTCAGAAAAATATTGATAATGCAGGCATGGCAAAATATTGTAAACTATTAACTCAGTGATAGATATATGGAGGTTTGTTGTAATAGTCTCTTTATTTTGTCATATGTTTGAAATAATTTATTTTCAAAATGTTTAATGTTATAAGTGATAATACAGCAAGCAAAGAAGCATATGTAAGATAATCCATTGAACTTTGAAAAATGTACTTTTTAATTAAAAAATAATATAAAAATATTTATTTATGAGTTATCTTAAAGGTATTATACATTAGTTTTCTTTGTTAAACTATAACTTACTTGAGTTTCAGTCTGTAATTGTCCAATTAATGAGAGAGTCTGAACAGCAGTAAAACAGACCTATGATTTCAAATAAACACAAAAGTTACCAAAAATGTCATGGGGCATAAACTTATTTCTTTCTTTAACTTACTGATTGAAAAACTTGAGCAGCTTTTAAAGGCTGATGTAAAATGTGATTTCCAAGTTCAGCATCTAATTCAACAACATCAGAGGGATTTACTAAAATATTGAATCGATAGACAGCATAACTTTGTTTGGAATCTGTAAAAATACACAAACATACAATTGAGGATAGTTATATGTGGGTATTTATTTTACAGTTTCTAAAATAAAGTCACTTTTGCTGAGCATACCATTGTAGTACTTGCAATCATCTATAAACTTTTGGAGCCCTCCACTTCTGTCTAGATAGATAAGTGCTGCCTCTTTCATTTTTAGACTTGACATTTTCTTCTAGTTAATGATTCTTCTTTGTTATTAATTAAACCACAGTAGCTGGTAAAGACTACAGATGATGAAACTCACAGAAAAGATGAGAACACCTGCAAATAAAATAAATTAAACTGTATGTTTGAAGATCTCTAGTAAAACTTTACACCCTAGGAGTAAAATGTTTAAGATCGGATCCTGTTTTCAAGGAGTTGTCAATTTATTGGGCATTTACCACTATTGAACACTTGGCACTCAGGATACAGATGAGTAATATATAGTCCCTATTGTTCAGAAGAAGTACAGTGAGAGAAGACAGTTGTAAAAATATATAATATTAGGGAACACAAAAAGAACAACATATTTTAAACAGTTCACAAAATTTGGAGTGATCCTTGGGTAGGGGGTCATAATATTTTCTACTTTTAGAACATATTCAACATGGTGGGTTTATAGAGAAACAGCAATGAATTCCACTTTTAAATGTGACATTTGGTAGATGAATAAGATTTTACTGGAGTACAGGTGAAGAAGAGAGGAGAAAGTTTTCCAAAAATAGGGGTAACCTGCCCATTCCCGTTTTCGGATCTATTGAATCCACACCCCTACTACTTGGAGTTCCGGCCACTAATTGAGACTGCCTTTTTTGCTATTATATAGGGGGAGACTTCAGAGTTCATTTCTCTGTGGCCATAAGTTCGTACACTGTGTTCAGGACATTACATCTGTGCTTCATTAGGACATTTCCGGGGCTGAATGAAGGGAGGCTGTTGATAATGAAATGAGTGGGCGAGGCAAAGACAAAGAGAGTCTTTAACAGGGGAGTAAGGTAATACGGTCAGATTTCTATTTTGGAAACCAGTGCCTAAGGTCAGTGTGCAAAACGGGTTGCAGTAGAGGAAGAGCAGACAATCAGTTTCTAGCTATTGAAACAGTCCCGAGATGGGCGGTCTAATCTAGGGCACTAGGAATGGAATGGAACGGGGCAGATGGATTCCAGACTTTTTAAAGAGTTCGTTCACACTGAGCCTGGTGCCCAGCCCAAAAGTGAATTTTCACCTCGGGTGTGGGTGGATGCTGCTGCTGTCATGGAAATCCTGAAGCTCGGGAAGAGTAGGAAAACGCAAAGGGAAAGTTCATTTGAGACAGTCTGACTTTGTCGGGCCCTTGGGACACCCAGATAAGCACGAATCAGGGCCCGATGCACTAGTTTAAGAAAAGGCTAGAGACAGCCTTTTCCCAATCCGAGGACCCTGGGCATGGATGGGGAAGCGGGAGGAAGCCTGCGGAAGGGAATAAATAAGCGAACGTGGTTAAAATTCTATCCGTCTCCTCACAGTCTAAGGAATTCAAATGCTTGTTCACTTGGAACGGGAGCGAGTCGTGTCTTCACTCCTTGCGCCGTCAACAGGAAAACACCTCACAACCAAAGTGGCGCAAAGCAAGTCCAGCCTTGCACCCTGGGGCCCGGGACCTCTCCCACCCGCAGCGCCAACCTCCGGGACTGCGCGCCCTGGACCACCTGCGCTCTAACCCGCTCTTGGACCCAAGGAGCCACGCCACAGTCGCGCCGCCTCGAGCCTGCGACCCAGGAAACCCCTAGAGCGCATGCGCGCGCCGGCCGACCGTTACGGGCGCCGCGGGGACTGCCGGGCGGTGCCTGCCAGTCAGCGGGGCAGCGACGCCCAGCGGCGCTCCACCCGCTGGGCTCTCTCCCGCTCCCTCCCTGCGAAGCGAAGCAGAGATTTGAAAAAAGAAAGAAAGAAGCCATCCATAGTCGTGGTTGTTGGTTGTCACAGGCCAATCGTGCCCAAGTTTGTTCAAAAACTTAAGGTCCTGGCCGGGTCGTCCAGTTGGTTGGAGCGTCCCTGAGACACCAAAAGGTTGCGGTTCAAGCCTCTGTCCGGCTGTATAGGGGGAGCAACGGCTCCCTGTTTCTCTGTCACCCCATGTCATCTGTCTCTCTCTCCAATCAGTAAACGTACTCAGATGACTAAAAACTTTTCGGGTGGGAATGCAAATGCCGCAGTTAATTCGGAAACCCGTCTGGGACCACCTTAGATGACTGAACAGTTACTGTGTGACCCAACAAATCCAAGCCACATATTACGCATTATATATAGAATTTGAAACACATGTTCACATAAAAATTGATACATGAATGTTCAAATGGATAAGATGTGGTATACCCGTACACTGGAGTTGGCCATAGAAAGGGCTGAGGCACGAATACACGCTACGAAACAGATGAGCCTTGAAAACACCATGCGAAGCAAAAGAAGCCAGACGCAAAAGGCCAAATATTGTATGATGCTGTTTGTATAAAGTGTCGAGAATAGGCGAATCTCTACAGGGAGAAGGTAGTTTTCCTCGTATAGATCTTGCACATTTTGTTAGGACTTCTACCTATTTATTTGGGGGCAGGGGTGGCTAATGTTAATGGTGTTTTTAATTTCAAATTTCATTTTATTGCCGGTATATAAGAAAGTTATTTTTGTGCATTAACTTTGTATCATGTAATCTCTCTCTAATCACTTATTAGTTCTAGAAATTTTTAAAGTTCTAGTGGATTTTCTACAAAGATATTCATGTCATCTGTAAACAAGAGCAGTTTATTGCCATTTGGTATCTAACTGAAGCATGTGCTACGGGCTTTCTAAAGTAAATTTAGTGTTAGAATTTAACATGAATGTATCATAACAAAGTAAATTGTTACTGTTGCATTATTACTATCATTGAGACATAAGAAAAAAAATTCAACACAGCAAGGCTATATTAACTACTGTCTGGGAAGACCTGAAAAAAATCCAACACGTGATCAAATTTGACCATTTGAGTAGGTGTTTCCCTGTGTATAAGCCTCTGGATTCCATGAGTTAATAAAACATAAAAACAAATACTGACAACACATTATAGACTTTCTCACAGAGACTGAACTAATATTGGAGAAATGTGTTCCCTACTAAAGTGAAAATGATGAAACTGTATTAGAAAAATGATGAATATATGACATATTTTCCTGCAAAATAGAATTTACAACAAAATCTCCCAAATCATGTTTGCATGCAAGGTTTCTAAAATCACTGTATCTGGTTCTTCCAGTAAATGGGGTTATGTAGTGATGTTATTCTTTGTTTTACATTATTCCCTCAATATTCATGTAATCTATCATTTTCAGGTCACTATCTAAAAATAATTTTTTAGTACAGGACCCTTTGATTGACTACTTATTGCTCTAAATATAATGCTGAACTTATACTTCTCTATTGGCTTTTTTTCTTTGTGTAACATTGCTTTAAATTATTCTTCACTATCTTGACTTTGAATAACTAAAAAGTTACATTTTGAGACACCTATATTTCTTTCTGACTTAATTATGTCTGTAAAAATGGGTATAATGTTAAGAAATAGTAAAATGAGAAATACTTTTTATGTAGGAAATCTTTTACTTACTAAGGAACATGTTTAAAGGATTACAAATGGGTGATTATACAATACTGGTAAAACACCAAAAGTGCTTAGTAAATTATATAAATCTGCAATGGCCCTAGCTTGGTGGCTCAATTGGTTAGAGAGTTGCCCTGAATACCAAAAAGTTACAGTTCGATCTCCAGCTGTGACTAGAACTGGAGGCAACCAATTGAGGTTTCTCTCTCACATTGATGTTACTCTCTCCTTTTCTCTCCTTCTACAAATGATACGACATATCTTCGAGTGGGGATTAAAAAAACCTTCAGTTGAAATGGTCTCAGGGATGTAACAACAATTTCTCTTAGTATTAGGTGAGTAAAGGAGAACAAAGTGGAAGTGAAGAAAGCCATTCTTTTTATAGCAGTGAATTCTTTGGAGCATCTGAACAAAGCCATGGAGCACACCCTGCCCTGAGTCGATTTCATTTACACAGAAAACTGGGCATATCATGTCAAGGTACTCAAGCCACCTGAAACTCACCTATGTACACTTTAGGGTTTCATATAAATGAACAGTAACCTTGGGATATGGAATAATCTAGTAATTTTTACATGTGTTCAAATATTTAATTAAAATTGACTTGTCTTAGTCTAAATAAAGAAAGACACAGGGATGAGGACTGGGGGGGAAATGGGAGGGAGGTGGGGAGATGGGGCGGGGCAGGGGGCCTGGGATGGGAGAAATAGACAAAAAAATGTACTTGAAAAATAATTAAATAAAAATTAAAAACTAAAAAAAAATTGACTTGTCTTCACATACACACATATATACATATAAAATTCATTTTGTAATGACTGCTGTAACCATCACCAATTTTAATTTAAAATAATGACAGGCATTAGAAGATAATTAATCTTTTTGCTACTTTTATTATACTACATAAGATTTGTATTTTCTGAGATAAAAACAACATTCTATTTTAAATTTGTTCTTAAAAATATACAATATTGCACTTTAATTTCTGGCAGTTTAAGGAGTGGCTGAGTAAAAAAAATCATACAAGAGACTAGTTTTTATTTGCTTTATATTAAGCAAAGAGCTTTTTGTAAAAGCAGAACTTACAGTAGTGCCAAATAAACTAAATATTTATAGTGTTGCTATTCAAGTCTCGCCTCTACAGGAAGATTCAGTTTATTGAATGCAAATATTATAAATCAAAGAAAAGTACACCTCTTGCTCCATTCTGCTGGACATTTTTAAGCCAAAGGATATTGGTATGAAATCTTTTTAATTTCTTTCTGAAGAGAAAATACAAAGAAAGAATGCTTGTTTCTGAAGCATCTAAACTGGGTCACAAAACTCTTTTACAGTGTTTCCCTACATAACCTGAAAAATCTCTGAACTAAAAATCAGAATTCCAAAATAAGCATTTTTTTTCTTTTTTTTTAGTTTTTCTGTATGTATTTTCTTTTATAAGTACACAAGTTAGTTGGTTTTCAGTATGATTTCATGGTCAATATTAGAATATTTTCTAATATACACAGGACTGGCTAGGCATCTGTCTGAATTATTTTTAACTTCTGTTACACTGTAGTGAAACTATACATTTATATTGATCTAGCATTTGCTATTCTACCTTTTAATTCCCAATTAGGTGAATACTCTAGGAAGCTCGCTATTTTTCACTTATCAAG